AGTTCGGCAGTTTCGGTTATGCCCGCTGCATGCTGGGAACCGCAGTTCTCCAGACCAGCTACGTCGGCACTAAGTGACGGACGAAACACGCGCTGTAAGTTCGGGTCGGGTCCCGACCTCCGCATTCCGCGATGACAAGCTTGCCACGCTGCAGTAGCCCATAGGCGTGAGCGATCATTCGGATCAACTAAGTACAGAAACTGAAGCCCTAAGATTCATCACTGGTTTGGCTCGGGCTGCCGGGGGCCGGGCTCCTTCGCACGCTTCTCCCCACTCCGAAAGCTACGGTAGGCCCTGGGGCACGGAGGACGTGGGTCCAGGCCGAAGACGGTTGAGGCACGACTGCGCTGTCCCGCCAGCGAGGGAAGGAGGAAAGTTCGCCCTCGTTCCTGCAGCTACTAGTCTGGGCAGCTGACACAGAGAAGGCTGCAGACCCAAGGTTTGTGTGTACAAGGGGACTACTATCCCGGGGTGGGCTGGGGGAGGCAGGGGTCCACATATCAGTGGATTCTCCTTGAGGGGGATCTGAAGGCCCCAGTACGGACGTGGTCTTTGAGTTAACATAGAGGAAGGAACGGGGGTGTGGCCAGAGGGCTGTTACTTGGGGAGGGCATGGGGCTGTACTGAGGTCTGGTGGGGCTGTTATGGGGGAATCAATAGGGGCTAATGGTCGACATGTTCATGGGGACCAGTGGGTATGTGTTCATTGATTAATGAGGAGGTGGTTGAGTGAGCAACTAGAAGGTAACCGGAGGCAGAGGGTGTGTGATCCCTGAGGGATTGATGGAGGTATGATTTCAACAAGTTACTGAAGAGTGGTGGGCATAGTAACTGAAAGGATAATGGTGAGGCTACGGAGGGAGTAATAGAGGCCAGTGGACGTCATGATCAAGGAACTAATGGAAACAGTGATCAAAGATGAGGAAACAAGGGGCAGAAGAGGTGTTGTAGTCAAAAGCTTTTAATGGGTGATGATGGCGTGATCATTGAGGAATTAATGGTAACAGTGAGCAAAGAAAGGGTAATACTAAGGTGTTGGGAGGTGATCATCAAGTGATTATTGGGGGGCTAGGTGGGCAATGAGGGGAGAATGAGAAACTGATCATCCAAGATTAACATGAATGTGTGCTAATGAAGGAATTACAGGGCACTAATATTGTGATCTATGAGAGATCAATTGGAAGGCTGAGCTAATGGGGGCTGATAAATCATAGTAATTGAGAGCTTAATGGGAGCTAATAGGCCATGATCCTCCAAGTATTAATGAGGGTTGATAACGATGTAGTGATAAAGTAATTACTGGGGGCCTAATTATTTCAGGGATTAATAGGGAGTGGGGTAGGGAGAGAGAGAGATTAAGGGAGTGGGAATTACAATGAGGTAGTATTAAGATAATGGGGATGAATGCAAGATGGGGGGCTAAGATGGCTCTATTAATCTAGGGACAGAGGACAGCTGGGGAGACAGTGAGATGCTAATGGGGATAAGGTGGGCAGAAAAAGGTTGATAGAGCCGTGGAGTTTAATATGGGAGTGTGGGTGACAGCAGTAGAGGTTGACAGGGTCAGTAATGGGTCATTTTTGAGATAAGTGTTGGGTTTGGGGGTTCTGGTGGGGTGAATGGTGGAGCGAGTGGTGGAGCCTGAGAGTTCAGTTCTGGGGTCCTTCAGGCTCCGTGAGGTCAGTGGGATCAGTGACAGGGCTCCAGTCTTCCGATCTGCTGAGTGAGCTGTCATGTGGATCAGATGAGCCCAGCATGGTTTGTGTGTTTTTTGGCTGCCCTGTAGACGTAGGTGGTGGCTCCCTCACCCAGTTACGGATACAGAGTAGCATAAACTTAACTGTTGGCAGGTACCTGGGCAAACAGTGTGCAAGATGGGACGGACGTCAAAGGACAAGCGGGATGTCTACTACCGCCTGGCCAAGGAGAATGGCTGGCGTGCCCGCAGTGCCTTCAAGCTGCTACAACTCAATGAGGAATTCCAACTCTTCCAAGGTCCCTACCTGGCGGGCAAGTCACTGAGGGATGGGACAGGCACAGGGAACAGATAAGAGAGGTAGGTACAACTGACACTACACCTTCCTGTGTGTCTTCAGGCGTGACACGGGCAGTTGACCTGTGTGCAGCCCCCGGCAGCTGGAGCCAGGTGCTGAGCCAGAAGATTGGGTGAGTGTGGAGTCCCAGATTGGGGGGGCCGGGGAGGGCAGGCTAGGTGAGGGACGGGCCAGAAGTGAAAACTGGGCTGACATGGGCTGTGTTTTCCACAGGGGCCAGGGGTCTGGCCATGTGGTGGCCGTGGACCTTCAGGCTATGGCTCCACTACCAGGTGTATTACAGATCCAGGGGGACATCACCCAGGTAAGAGCATGGCTGGGGGTGTTGAGGTGTTTCCTGGATGAGGATCCCTCAACCTGGGGGCTACAGAAAGTGGAAGAGACAGAGAAACAGACTGAGAAAGACAAAGATAGAGTAACCAATGTAACAGAGAGAGTAACCAATGTAACAGACAATGTAACAGAGAAGAAGAGAAACAGAGCCAGCATGTTGTCATCCCAGAGAGATGGCAAAAAGTTATGGGTCTAAGTCCCCAGAGATGGAGTGTGGTTTTAGACCAAAGCCTGAGTGTTTGGTTGACCCAGGGCCTATAAGCCAGAGCCATGGGCAGGTGGGGTTAGACAGCCACAGTGTGGGGAGACCTTGGGGCCACTCATCCACCCTCTCTTCCATAGCTGTCCACAGCCAAGGAGATCATCCGGCACTTTGAGGGCTGCCCTGCGGACCTAGTGGTGTGCGACGGGGCTCCTGATGGTAAACAGGGGTTGGGAGGCCAGGCGGGGAGTCCCATGTGTGTCCTTTCTGTATCTCCCACTTTGTTGGCTTCTTTTACCACTTCAACTCGCTGCCTCTCCTCCTCTGTCAGCTGTTTCCCACACCTGGCAACTTCTCTGTACCCTGCTGCCTGCTCTCTGCCTCTGTCTTCTCCCTCCTCACACTCTGCCACTTCAGTTTTGTCTGTTGTCCACCCTTCCCTCTTCTCATATCTCATCTCTCTTCTCTCTTCAGCTCTAGTCTATCTTACTGCCCATTCATTTTTGTAAGTCAGTCAGTCATCCATTCAACACATGTTTACCGAGTACCTGTTGTGTGTCAGGCACTGTTCTACATGTTGGGAAAACATTTATGAATAAAATTCCACCAATCTCTAACCTCATAGAGCTGGTGTTCTAGTGGGAGCAGATGTAAAAGAAACATGACTGAGCTCTGTAGTATATCAAAAGGTGATAGGCACCTTGGGGAAATCAGTGAAAAGGGGAGAGGGTGGGGAGTACCTGTTGGAATGTTAAAGTGGATGGGGAAGGCCTCACTTATGTTAGCGCAAAGACCTAAAGGTGAGAGAGTGGGCCAGGGGCATGCCTGGAGGAAGAACAATCCAGGCAAAGGGACCAACCTGTGCAAAGGCCCTGAGGTGGAAGGGTGCTTGGCATGTGCGAACACCAGTGTGGAGATCAGTGTCGTTGGATCAGAGTGAGTGAGGGGGAGAGTGATAGGAGGTGAAGTGACAGAGGACAGATCCTTGTGTGCCACAGTAAGGACTTTGGCTTTTTCACTAAGAACTCAGAGAGAACCATGAGAGTGTTAAGAGTGGTGGAGGGCCGTGCCTGACTCTGGGTTGTGATAGGATCCCTCTGGCTGCAGTGAGCAGTGTGAGGGGCGAGAATGGAAGCCAGGGGTCTAGGGAAGAGGAGGCCACTGCAGTAGTCCAGGTGAATGGTGACAGTAGTGATGAGAAGAGGGTCATTTCAGGAGATGTTTTGAAAAAGTAGGGCTGACAGGATTTGCTAATGGCTTGACTGTGGGTGTGAGAAGAGAATGGAGCTTGTCAAAGGTGACTAAGGTTTTTGGTCTGAACAACTGGAAGGATCAGATGAGATGGGGAAGATGGTGGGAGGAACAGGTTTGTGCAGGAAGGGCAGGAATTTGGTTTTAGACAGGTCAGGTGTGAGATGTCAAGTCTGATCTGAGTCTGGAGTTTAGAATCTAAACTGAAGGTGGAAATGATGATAAAGAGACTTGCAGATAAGGTTGTTTTGAGAATTAAAATGAGCTCCTAAGGGTTAGGGGCTCAGAAGGTAAATCTAGTTGACAGGTTTGCATGCAGAACCTTAGCAATAAGAGAGCCTGGGAAATGTTTTTAGTCTTCTAACCTCTCTGGGACAAGAAGATAGCTAGAACTGGATGGCCCCCCTAATGCCGTTCCTCTTGCCGCAGTAACTGGCCTCCATGATGTTGATGAGTATATGCAGGCCCAGCTCCTCCTAGCCGTGAGTAACCCTGGCTGCCCCTGACTCAGTTTGGCCCCCTCCTGGCTATGTCCGCCTCAGCCTTAGCTATCTGTCCTGCCCACAGGCTCTGAACATTGCTACACATGTCTTGAAGCCAGGGGGCTGTTTTGTAGCCAAGGTAAGCCTTGGAAAACCTGGTGGGGGACAGAGATGGGTCCCTGAGGATCACCCTCATGCCTCCGTCTCTGCCTCCCCACCCTGCAGATCTTCCGAGGCCGGGATGTGACGCTGATCTACAGCCAGCTGCGTGTATTCTTCTCCAGCGTGCTCTGTGCCAAGCCTAGGAGCAGCCGGAACTCCAGCATCGGTCAGTGGGGTGGAGGGGCTGGGCAGGTGATGCGAATCTCAGGGACCTGTCCTGTCCTGTCCTGTCCTGTCCTGTCCTGTCCTGTCCTGTCCTGGAGTGGCGGTGACAGTCGCCCCTCACTCCACCTTTCACCTACAGAAGCCTTCGCAGTCTGTCAGGGTTATGACCCCCCTGAGGGCTTCCTGCCGGACCTGACTAAACCCTTGCTGGATCACTCATACGGTGAGAGCCTTGTCCCTAGGGAGACTCTGCCCCCTTTTGGAATTTGTCTCAGGAGGGCTCTCAGCCCCACCCCCTGGTAGAGACTCTGTTCCTTATGGGAATTCTGTCCCTAGAGGATCCTCAGCCCCATCCTCTGGTAGAAATACCACCACCACCACCACCAGGAGGATCTTCAGTCCAGTCCCCTAATGGTAACTGGTGAAATTCTGTCCCAGGAGGGTTCTACCCCAGCTGAGACACCCACCTAAGGAGATTATAGCCTAGGAGGATTCAGACACCCCCCCAGATGGAAACCCTACCTATGTGGGAATTTTGCCCCATGAGATTCTTTCACCTGGTTCTCTGGGAAAAGGCACAGAGCCTACTCATGTAACGAGCACAATTGAGTGAGACAAGTTCCAGGCTGTATATGATAGAAAGGCAGGTAGACATAAAAGTTCGGTGCAAAAAAAGCAGAGGGGGGCAATGTTTTAGAAGGGGTGATCATGGAGGGCCTTCCTAAGAAGGTAGTCTGAAAGTCTGAACCAAATGAAGGCTTTCCGGTGGAGGAGCATTAGAGTAGCTCATGGATATGTGGGGAAGCCTTGGGACCTATGCTGCAGCCTGAGTGATGACTGGTCCCAGGCATCCCAGCCTTGTCCTGTCTTATTTCTCTCTGCTTGTCAGATCCAGATCTCAACCAATTAAATGGTCCCACCCGCATCATTGTGCCATTTGTGACCTGTGGGGACCTGAGCTCCTATGATTCAGACCGCAGTTACCCACTGGATGTAAGTGCCCAGCTGACAGTAAGCAGATGGAGGGGGGAGCTCTCCTAGGTTCCCAGGTCCTCACCATCTTCCTGCCATGTGTCCCTGCAGCTGGAGGACGGCTCAGAGTACAAGTACACTCCACCCACACAGCCCCCCATCTCACCACCGTACCAGGAGGCCTGCACGTTGAAGAAGAAGGGGCAGCTTGCCAAGGAGATCCGCCCCCAAGACTTTTCCATCAGCACAGTGGAAACATTGCCCCAGCCCCTGGCTGCCCCACAGCACCACACCCTGATGGCCTCTGAGGTCTGGACACATGTGGCCCAGGGCCTGCTGTGCCCTTTCTTTGTGCCCACAGTGACCCCTCCCAGTACTCCTCTCTGTCTGCTCCCAAATCACGTGGTTTCTGGGGTCAAAATTATCTTCCCTGCCTCCTAATAGCTATAAAAATCAGTGGGTAAAACCAAGTATAATGAGTGGAAAAGCTTGGTATCTGAGTCCCTTTTCTTTTTCTTGAGTAGGTGGAAGACAGTGAAATGACTTGTTCATCTTAACACATTAAGGTAATTCTGACTTTTTATCTAAGAGCTTAAGTAAAGGACACCTTTAAGAAAAACATCAGTAAAATTTCACCTTTGACATTTTTATATCAACTGATAAGATTTCAGTCAGCAAACCTTTACTAAGCATCTGACATTGTATGTCAGGAACTGCTTTAAGCATTTTACATGTTACATATTGAGGCATTCAATAAACATTTATTAAGCCCGTACTGTGTGCTGGGGATTTTCTAGTTTTGGAGGTAGAGTGGGGAAAACAGGCAAATACCATGGCCCTTGTAGAGCTTCTAGATTGGGGAAGAGGTAATAAACAGTAACACAGTCTGAATGCAGGAGTTCTCCTCCACACACACGTATATACACACACTTGCATTTCACTATGTATTTATATAGCTTGCGTTGTAATATATATGTGATGTGTATGTATATACATATATATTTTATATATACTATGTAAAAGTAATAATGTGTATGAAAAAGTCTTTAAATAAAGCAGGGTAAAGAGAATCAGGAATTCTGGGGCAGCAGTGTGCACTTTTTTTTTTTTTTTT